CCCCCCATTTTCTCAAAACAGCATTTTCCGGGATAACCCCCTGGCCCTTGTCCTTAAAAGCGACCATAATTATATATCCCGTGACCTCCCAACACGTAAGCTCTCTCGCCCTGGGCTCCAACCTGATTGGTGCAGTTTATGCACTTTCGTCTGACGGAGATTAAAACAAGATAAAAATAATACATGTACCCTGGTAGATCTTTGTCGCTCTTTAAAAAATCTTCCGAGAGCTTTGCATTCGGGTCTAAAAGTTGAACGACCAACAGAATTTAAAAGCCCATTCATATTAGTGACTGCAAACTAAGGTTCCGACACGTTTTCTTTGATGTCACTTCAATAAAGTGGGTAAAAAACTGTAGAGGATTTACAGCATATAGCCTACCTAAATCATACGCTGACATTATTTTCATTAACACCACATTATAACGTGCTCCTAAAAACAAGATTCAAGAGACGGGGTGAGTAGTTTTCGAGACTCACCTGAAGACGTCTTGACAGTCGTGGGATGGCATCTACATGCTTACACTGAAATGTGGGGGCAGGGCGGTGTCGCTGTCACAAAATGAGCAGTTTTTCGGCTTGATTACTACTGTAAGTCATTTATTTTAGCGATCCCGTGTATGCACCCAAAGAACGGTTTTGAATATAGGGCCCAAACAGAGAAACTTTAAAAAATTACCTACTGGGTTAAGATTTTGCGACAAAAGAAAATTGTTTGGTCGCTGGCTTGCAGAAGTACCCTGCAACGTTTCGTGGGCACTGATAAATTAATATATGAGCTACATTTTTTTTTTAACGCAGACAGACGAAAGTTAACAAGCCATAACAGATTAGTCGTCGCAACTTGTGCACCAGAGGATGAAATGGAATAACTTGAATCTTTTTAAAAGCTCTTTGTTTAAAAAATTCTTTTTAAGGTCTAATCTGAAACCATAAGCCACTAGATTGAGCAAAACATTCAACATCCCCTCCCACCCACCCACAAAACAACAAAACAACAACTGGCAGCAACAACAATAACAGCAACAACAACAACAACAACAACAACGACAACGAAAACGACAACAACAGCAACACCCCCCCCCCCCAAATCCCTCATCCCCAAAACCCAATTAAAAACACGCACACAAACCTACACGTTAAAAGAAAACAACAACCAACCCCCCCCCCAAAACAAAACAAAACAACAACACACAAAACAAAACAAAACAAAACAAACAACCCCCAATAACCCTCGGCCTGATTTATAAGCGACGTCCAAAGGGAAAAGCCACTCTTAAAATTAATTCTATGAAGACGAAGCGGACACATAGATCTACGTCCGATCAACAGCAAGCCAAAGGCAACACTGTGGTAAGATTCGAACCATCATACTAAATTTAAAACACGAATTTGCGTGGGGTTTTTTTTGCATGCGCGTTGTTTCTTGCCATTTTAAAACAAAACAGAAAACTGTGTAAATAACAAAGGTATGTTTATTTTCTAAATGCCCCAAAGCAGCACGCATTCAAGCGTTGTCGGATGACCAGAAAGAGCGTCTTCAATGAGTTAAAGAAGAGGGTTGATCATGGTGAGGATAGGGTGAAGAGTGGGGGTGGGGTATAACACCACCTGGTGACAAGGAAAATAACAAATAAAAATAACCCAAGACAGTCCTGTGAACTTGACACCAGTGAGATGACACATTTTTCGGTGAAACAAAAGCTTTTATTACCAAGAGATTTTGCTTAAAGATTCCATCATCTGCTTCATGCTCTTACAACACCAGCAGACGTCAGACAACAGGCACAGTACTGAGCGGTGTAAGTCTAGAGTCAAGGAAAGATTCACAGAAATGTTGCTTAGCATTATCTAATGACCAGCAGTGGGTTCAGGGAAGAAGTCTTGCTTGGAATTATTCAGGTCACTTTCAGTGGATTAGGACAATAGAAAGTAGTTGTAGTTGTATCAGAAAAAACAACAACCGCAGAAGGAGACTGTGAGTGAAGGTCAAATCCGTGTGCAACTCCTTAGAAAGGTGAGGTTTTGAGTAAAGTTATTTTCACGGTATTTAATTTGAGCTTAATAACGTCAGTAGCAATAATATGTAGTAGTAATAATAATAATAATAATAATAATAATAATAATAATAAAAATAATAACAATAATAACAATACTAATACTACTACTGCTACTACTACTACTACTGCTACTACTACTACTACTACTACTACTACTACTACTACTACTACTACTACTACTACTACTACTACTACTGATGATGATGATGATGATGATGATGATGATGATGATGATGATGAGGCCTCCCACCTTGTCCTTCATTTGGCTCCAAACTGTGAAAATTGTGGCTCCAAACTGTGAAAAATGTACGCTGCATGGTGAACTAGCATTACGTCAGGTGCCTGGTCTGGGGTATCATAACACAACACGTCTGCAACCC